CCAGCCCAGCCAGCAAGGCCACGCACAGGAGGTAAAAGAGGTTCTTGGCCCGTGTGTTTCTCAGGCTGGCAAGGGGGGAGAGGAAAAGAGAGGGCCGGCACTGAGGGATTTCTTCACGGCACTGGTGGAAGAAACCGGAGAGGCGCACACAGAGCAGGAGCATGGCCACGAGGCACAGCAAGTACCAGATCTCTCTCCGGTAAGAAGAAAAGCCAAGGAGCTGCGGCTTGGGGCCTTCGGGCACAGTCAGGCGACCGTCCCAGTGGAGCTTCCCTACTAACACCACCACCAGCGAGGCCAGCAGGAAGGGGGCCACCCGGGCCTCAGCCACCACAAAGCTATCAGAGAACATAGCTCCGCAGCGGAAGAGCAGAATGCTCATGGGGAAGGCCAGCCCCAGCCATTCTCGCAGCCTCTGCCTCAGGCCAGCGCTGGCCAAGGGTGGCTGACTGCCCACCAAACGGGCTCGCTTAGGATGCTGGCCCCACCAGTGCCAGAAAAAACCCAGCTGAGAAGCAGCGGCTGTGCATGACACCACCAGGAGGAGATCCAGCCCCTCCCGGGTGAATGCATGGGCCAGTCCAAGCAGAACAGCCACCACAAGGCCCCAGAACAGTGGGTACAGGAGGCAGCTGCGATAGAAAGAGTCCGATGCTGTGGCCAGGTCTGAGGCAATGTAGCAGAGCAAGCAGGAAGCAGCAATAAGGGTGCAGCCCCCCACCATACGCAGCAGGTGGAAGCGGGCCCAGGACTGGGTGCACACAGCCCGTGCCTCCCGCAGGTAGAGCTGGAAGCGACTGATGAGGCTTCTCAGCCTGGACTCCAGCTCCGGAGGCACCGGTGTTGCTCCCTGCACCTGGGCCAAGAGCTGAGCGTGCTCCTCCACAGCACCAGAGAAGAGCTCCTGCAGGTGCTGGAGTTGCTCTGCTGGCAGGTCCTGAGCCACCAGTGAGTAGGAGTGCAGGAAGCGGTCCACCTGCAGGAGAGGGGACATAGCGTCAGACAGCAGCACTGGGACCACTGGGAAAAGGATTCACTGCCTCATACAGCCCCTTCAGAATGGAAACAGCCCCAATCTGCCAATGCCTGCCAGAACAGACCTGTCCCCAGCTGCATCACCCCGGGCTGGTCACCCAAATCCAGGATATGACCTGCAGGGAACACAATCCCTCTGCCAAAGTGACATCACTCTGAAGTGACATATGCATCCTGACAGCCACACTGACTCCTCTCAGTTCTTCACCTGCACGTGCGCCTCTGGTAACGTTGTGCATCACTAAGGGCTTTTATACAAAGAGTCTTGGTAACAATAAGGCAAATGTCCCCCAGAAGTTTGACTCATTACTAGCTATTGTATGCACCCAATGTTGACTTTTACATAGTTTGTCTCAGGATAGACATCCAATTACAGCGCTTATAGTGGATCAAATCAAACTGCTCCCTCTTCTTCAAGACAGGCACATTAACCCACTGTACCATAGGCTAAGGAGAGCTCATTCTGCTTCCTACAGCAATAGGACAGAAACAGAGGCAGCTATGATCCTGAAGTTGTAAAAAGTCTTGCAAGGGCATTACCAGGGCATTACCGTCCTAACATCCAGCTGCTCAGCAGCATATAGCTGCTCAAGCCCTGAAACACACCAATATCTTCACATGCCTTCCAGTCGCCTCAGATCATTGGCAGAATCAGCCAGCCTCTACCTATGAATGGCAAACATACGCAGCAGCTCTCTTGCAGGCCTGCACAACCTCCCTGGCATGCAAAAGCTTCTTCAACACCAACATGATCGAGCCAGAAACCTCCTCAGATGAATGAGGACAAACATTTAAACAGACAGGACTGGATAACACTAATTCCTAACAGATGATGATCGATATCGTCAGTAACTAATGGACAGTAACATACACTATCATCTTTAAATGACAAAGCACTCTGTTGCTCTATAAATACACAGCAGAGGGGCTGAACATTTCCGTCTTCCCATCAGCAATCATATCCTCTCCAGCTCCTCACTGACTTGCACCAGTGGTGTTAAACTGGCACACCGAGGGGCTGGCCGGGGGCTGGGGGAGTTATTCTTGCGCTCCTAGCAATCCAGAGGTCCCTCAAAGGCAGACCAGCACATAGCTGAGACACATGCCTTGCAACACGCGTGGCAAATCTGTTTCTGTAGCATGCCCAGAGCCACAATGGACAGTGCTCATGTCCTCCACAGAGGCGCTGGCTTGCCCTGGCACATGGCCTGCTCCATTGCCTGGGCTTCTTTATTACCTGGTATAGTCACTCTTATAGGCCGCACCTCTCATACTGTGGGACTTTTGGGACCCTCACTACAAGAAGGACATTGAGGTGCTGGAGTGAGTACAGAGAAGGGCAACGAAGCTGGTGAGGGGGCTGGAGAACAAGGCTTATGAGGAGCAGCTGAGGGAACTGAGGTTGTTTAGTCTGGACAAAAGGAGGCTGAGGGGAGACCTTATCGCTCTCTACAACTACCTGAAAGGGGGTCGTAGCAAGGCGGGTGTTGGTCTCTTCTCCTAGGTAACTAGCGATAGGACAAGAGGAAATGGCCTCAAGTTATGCCATTTAGGTTTAGATTGGCTATTAGGAAAAATTTATTTACTGAAAGAGTGGTCAAGCATTGGAACAGGCTGCTCAGGGAGGGGATGGAGGCATCATCACTGGAGGTGTTGAAACAACATGTAGATGTGGCACTTCGGTACATGGTTTAGTGGGCATGGTGGAGTTGGGTTGATGGTTGGACTTGATGATCTTAGAGGTCTTTTCCAACCTTAATGAACCTGTGATTTAAATTCTGTCATTCAGCTCTTGGGATTCTGTATTTTGTTCCACTTGGTGTAAACTGTTCCTTCTCTATCCCACCACACTGTCACCTGCTACATGGTGTTTCTTTTATTTAGTCCTTTGTTACTGTTTTCCTTCTGCCACTGATCTAGAATAGCTTTTTAGCTAACAGCTTTGTATCCAAAACTGAAGCAGCATTAAGGCATCTGTTTGTAGTCTCGAATCTCCATTAATGAGACTTGCCCAAAGTTGTATTCAGCCTTGAGGAACCAGCCTTTGCACCAGCCTCCCCAGCTACCAAATCCGCCTCTGATCATCTGGGTCCAACCCTCATCCTGAAGCAAATGCCACCTTCCCAGCCAGTATTTTCCACACCACAGCACTCACCACCAAGCACTCAACAGGTCTCCCACTTCTCTTGTGGGAAAATAGTGCTGCCTTTTACTGGAGCAAACACTACAAGGAGGTAACTCTTCAAAATAAATTCCCCACGAAGATAACACCATGTCATCGCCCAATCTCCACCAAACAGAAGAGGTTTGTGCTTAAAAAGCCATTCTTTCTCCTCTCTAGTTCAATGGGGAAGCCTACCACAGGCTGTACCTGCTTGGCGTTGATGTGATAGACCGAGAGCTGCTGCAAGGCTGCAGACACAGTGTCGCCATCCCCGGAGAACAGCTCAGCCATCACCTCCCCGATGCTACTGTAGGGGATGGGCACACCCAGCAGCAGGGCCACAGTGGGCACCAGGTTCACTTGGGGAATGGCCTCAGGCTCCTGGGGAGACAGGGGAGAAATTGGAAATTCAGAAAGAACACAGCAATGCGGCTTTTCACTCAGGTTAGAGGACAACAGGGAAGACATCCCTGTTCAGAGGAGAATCTAGGGAAGCCAGGAGTAGGAAAACAGAGGGGAAGGCAGAGGCACAGCTCTGCCCTTCCCAAGTGCCCTGCAGAGGGTAGGATGCCTGTTGGGAGCTGCAGATTCTTGGGTATGGCCCTGGAGCTCACCTCTAGCTCCCCTGGTCCCACTCAAACACCCCCCACAGCTAGAGGGGCCTGAACATGGGTCCCAAACACTTCAGTCACCTGCATCCTGTGTCAGCCTTTCTGCTGTTCCCTCAGGAAAGGTGACAGACTCCCTGCCCCTCTCAACCTAAACAATCCCAATTGAGTCATTACTCTCTGTAACACCAGGACGCAGTTTTCACCCTGGATGCCACCTCAGGTGCTGACAGTTAAGAATCAGCTTCTTCTCACCTCTGGAGGGCCAGTGCCAAATAGGGCTGTTTTGCTGTACACAAACAGTGCTGCATTCACTTCCTTCTCACTGTCGCCGCCATGGTCTCCGGTGTCTGTCATGCCATGGTCCCCAGCCACCAGAAGAAGGGTGTCATTCCCCAGGTGATCCACCAAGGACCTGTCACCAGGATAAGAAAAGTCAGGTCCTACCTGGGCCAGGGCCCAAATAGCCCAGGTGGAAGATGACATGTCCCCTTCCTGTACCATGGAGGTGAAGCCCACAAAACGATATGAGCAAAGTGCTGACATAAGAGCTGTAACAACTGAGCCAGGTACCAGGGTAGTGGATGCTTTAAAACCAAACTGAAAATTCAGAGCCCTGAGACAGAGTGGACTGATCTTGCTTGGGTCCCTAGTGAACGGTAGCTGGTCCCTCGGTGCCTTCAGGGATCTTGACAAAATGGAATTCAGAAAAAAGGTTCCCAAGAGGAACAAGTTTTAGGCTGCTTCTATTTGGGTCTTGTATACTGCACCATGTTGTGTGAGCAATCTCCTACTTTTAAGGAAAAAAAGAGATTTGTCCTGCAGTAGGTATGCAGTAGGTATGGCACTCTCAGATGCAGCAGGACAAGCTACCCACTCCTTCTAGCAGCAAAAATTAAAGCAGTCCCAAGTCAAAAGCCGCAGAATTTTGCGCTGAGGTAAGGCTGCATGATCAGGTTTTCTGGATCCCATTCTGCCCTCTGACACAAAGATGCAACTCAGGGACCTGTGCAGTAAATGCTGCCTTCCCTCGCCAGAGTTCTCCAAGTAGTTCTCAAACATTAACCAAACCTCACTCAGTGTGACAATGTCCATTTTAAAGACAGAAAGAGTGAGGCTCAGCTGTACTCCAGCTGCACCATCACCTGATGGTTTGTTTGAGAACCAAAGCTCCAAGACCTGAAGAGAGCCTTACCTCTGAAACCAAACCTCTTCTGAAGATGCTGCCCCATAGCTGGGGTTTCAGCTGCTGCTGGCCAAAGCCGTTCTCTGTGTTAAACAGGCACAGTAACCACTCCCTGTTGCCCTCTGCATCTGTAAGTTCCCTGGGAAAACCCCACCAGCGTGGCTGAAGGAGCAGGCCAGCTGGCAATCCCACCACCACCACACTAATCACCTGAGCATCTCATTCATCTGGGTGAGCTTCTTCGCCATTTCAGGATGGTCAGGTCCGTGTTTGTGCCCACAGTGGTCCACGCCGAGGAAGTGAGCAATCAGCACGTCCCATTCACCACTGTCAACTGCAGAACAAGAGCAGCATTATCACATACTAGCCTGGGATTCAGGCACAGGCTCTACACCTGGATCCTTCTGCCAGAGCTTTCTGGCTGCCTCTGGAAAACGCTGTTTCTTCCCATCCTGCCATTGTCACTCCCAGCTCTCAAGTAGGTTGATGCAGGTTTTAAGAGAGGCACACTCTTGGTCTGCAGGTGCCTGGGTGCAATGCCACAGGGAGCTCAACACCTGGCAAGCACCCCAGTATCCATGGTTTTTGTTCACCACCCCACAGAAAGGGAATGGCCTGATGTCACACAAGACACCTTGAACTACCCTTAACTCAAACTGCCGCAAACTAAGCTAAACCAAGGGGATGCTCAGGAAAAGGAGAAGCCAGAACTCCAGTCTTCCCCTGGAGATATTTCAGGTCAGACTCATCAATCTGCCGCTCTGCACCCCACCCAGGACAGGGGCCTGGCACAGCAATGCTGTCTGTAGCTTGAAAGTTATCCCCACCTCTCCCCTCTGCTTCAGGGCCTTGACACATGAAAACCAGCATACTTGGAGTTAAATGATGAACTACAGCTCTTCCACAAGACACAAGGACTTGCCTATGAAAGGCCACTGTACCCTTGATTCACTTAGATTCATATACAAATAAAGCAAAGAGATTCCCCTTGGTCCCAGGGCCTCAGGGAGGAGTCTGAAATCACATTAAAATTCACAAACCAATCTCATACTTCACCTTCTTCCCACAACTAGGAGCCACTGATGCTCTGCTGCAAGCAGCGCTGTGCCCCAGCCTCTTGGCAGGTAGCTGCACTGTTGTGCACAGTGCTTCTCAGAGCACTGTGTCCCTGCGCAGGCAGCCACGTGTCAAAATTAAGCTGTTCCTCCTGCTCTTTCCTGCCAGTTTAAAATTCACAAACCAATCTCATACTTCACCTTCTTCCCACAACTAGGAGCCACTGATGCTCTGCTGCAAGCAGCGCTGTGCCCCAGCCTCTTGGCAGGTAGCTGCACTGTTGTGCACAGTGCTTCTCAGAGCACTGTGTCCCTGCGCAGGCAGCCACGTGTCAAAATTAAGCTGTTCCTCCTGCTCTTTCCTGCCAGTGTTTTCTAGGACAGATATAGAAGTCTAACCTTTTTTTCTTCCAAAGAGAGAAAAGGTATTTACAGAAACAGTTTACAGGCCCAAAAGCTGGTTTATCTGTGGCAATCCAGCTAGAGCACTGTAATCCCCGGGCAGCAGCGTGTGACTGCGTAGTGCCACTTTGTAACAGAAAAAACTCTTCACTCCTACCCCAAACTTGCAGTAGGGCCCCCACATAATGAAGAGAGTTATCCAGGCACTGGGGAAAAAGCTGCTTACCAGTTGGATAGAGATGCTGCAGGATCCCATTGTCCACAGTGTGAAGATCCTTCACGTTAAAAGAAGGGAAGAAATAAGAGCGGAAGAACTTCTTTGGGAAGAGTCCTTCCCATGTGTCATCACCCATGAAGACCACTCTCCTTCCTGACTCAGAAAGAAATGAAATAATCACAGAATCACTAAGGTTGGAAGGGATCTTCAAGATCATCAAGTCCAACCATTAATCCAGCGCCACCATGTTCCCTAAACCATGTCCTGAAGTGCCACATCCACTCATTTGGTGCCCCCACCCCCCCCCGGGGCAGCCGGTTCCAATGCTTGACCACCCTCTCGGTGAAGAAATTTTTCCTAATATCCAATCTAAACCTCCCCTGGCGCAACTTGAGGCCATTTCCTCTCATCCTATCGCTGGTTACTTGGGAGAAGAGACCAACACCCACCTCACCACAACCCCCTTTCAGGTAGTTGTAGAGCGTGATAAGGTCTCCCCTCAGCCTCCTCTTCTCCAGACTAAACAACCCCAGTTCCCTCAGCCGCTCCTCATAAGACTTGTGCTCCAGGCCCCTCACCAGCTTCGTTGCCCTTCTCTGGACACGCTCCAGCACCTCAGCATCATTCTTGTAGTGAGGGGCCCAAAACTGAACACAGGATTCCAGGTAACGAGAGTGGGCTCCCTGCTCATGCTGTTACACACACTGGTGCAAAGAGCCTGGGCAGATCCAGGTCAGGGCCTGGAGCACTGGCTCCTCTTCAATCCACACTCAAAACCGACCTAAAATTAAAATGACCATCTGGCTGTAAATGAGTTTGAGTATAGGGAGTGACTACTCCTGTTTTTAAGCCTACAAGTGCCCTCACCCCCGCAATCCACCTGCACAACCTCTCGACTCATTGTTGACCTCTGACATGTCACCCCAGCAGAAAGACCCATGGGTCAGACAGGCCAGGAAGCAGACAGGTATCCCCCATACTACCACAGCAGTTAGGAAGGTGCAGCATGAAGCAGACAAACCCTCACCCAAGGCCTGCAACCCCACTGTAAAACACAAGGCGGTAGATGGCTGCTGACAAGGGCCTAAGTAGTAGCCGTGAGTCCTGAGCCCTGACTTTAAACACAATGGTGGTGGGTTTTCTTATGTGAAAAGAGAAGACAAAAGCACTGATGCTTCCCACAGCCCTCACTCTGCTTGCCCTGCCTGCCACAAGCCAGCCCTCCATGTTTCCACAGAGCCTCTCCAGCCTGGGAGTGGGAACCATTTCCTCTGAGGCTGCGGCTCTGGCATAGGGTCTACCAGTGTTTTTCACCTCATATAATTTACTGTGTTTGCCCACCTTGCTCACACACCGGGGAGCGGATAACCTAGTCATGTTGCCTCATCCCTTGCACTGGTATTTGTGACACTCTGAGCCCTGGAAGGAAATCTCTCTGGATAACACAAGACTGTGCCCTGTCCCCTTCTCTCTACTCCATCATCCCACCCTAACAAAACTTGTGCAGCTGCACTAAGCATAACCCAGCAGCACCAAAGTACACAGAAAACATGATGAGGTCACTGCCTAAGAGATGCAGGCAGCTGCCCAGGCAGGCTTGCTGCCTGAGTGACAGCCCCACAGCAGACCTGGCACCAGCTCCTCCCTCGTTGTGTGTCTCACCTGAACGCAAACATGACATGAACACAAACACACCAAGACTGACTGCCCTTGGCTTTGTACAGCCATTCCTTGGTGGTCACCTTGTGGCAGTCCCCATCAGTACAGCCACTTTCACCTGCTTTCTCATTATCTTTGAAGATGATAAAGCCATGGTCCCAGCTACTTCTTACTCCCAGCACCTCTTGCATGACAGCTCTGCCTGAGACAACTGTCACCTGAGTAGGGCAAAAGAATTAGCTGACAGGGTGGAGGTGTTGTAAGCAGTTCCCTTCCCAGCGAGAGAGGAATACAGGTCCTGTGCGAGTGCTGGCCAGTGGTTTGCACGTGTGCTGTCCCAGCAGGACATCACCCCTGCCCACCTACCGTTCTGCACCAGCTGTGCCAGCAGGTTGTCCTCCTGAATCGCATAGG